CCCGTAAATAGTATAGAAAAGTTGTACAAACAGTACAAAATATGAGTAAACTATGCATGAACATAATGGTTTGCCCATACTTAATAATATAAAAACAATTAACAACATGAAAAGTCTGAAACAGAAACAAAGCCAGCTGAAAAAACAATTTCCCTGTTGAGATTGCAGGGTTCATATAATATCAGGCATTCTCAAGCAACTAATACATGTTCAGAAAAGGTCAAACATTATAACTAATAGTTTTTTTTTAATTTCCATTTTTGCAGTTACACAAACTACTTTATTGCCTATATGTATATAAAAAAAACGAAGTTTATGGCCTACATAATACAATTGCTACTTACAACGCTTAATATACACATATGCAAGTATACAAAATGCATTTCATTAAACATACTCCCATATGTGTAAATAAATATAAGTGTTTGTTTACATTTAACGTACAAATTGATAAACAAATACATAGCGTTTAGTTCTGGAGCTTTGCATTGGTCTTTTATATATTATATGGTAATTGTATCTTTGTATACAGGGTGACCCAAACTGAAGTGACAGAACATCATCAGTGTGTTGTACGTTCAAAAAGAGAATTAAAACTATTAGAACCAGAGAAGTTTTCCAGAAACTCTCTGTTGGAGTTGAACGACTAAGCTTTTGTACACATTTTAGTAGTATTGAGATTAAGCCATTGCAGGTCAGTGGCGAAGACTTTCGTATTTAGTGGGATTATTCTGCCCTTAAATTCTTCATTCACTCACTAATTCAATGCCTCACTTTGAAATTCTGCTGCTTTCTACGCAAATTCACAAATCAGAATGATTAATACGCATATCTAGATAAAAGCCTAACTATAGCTGAAAGTTCTAAAATCAGTGAGTTGAAAAAATAGCATTTTCCAACGGATTTATGAGATAAGATTTCAATCAGTAACTTAAAAAAATGTATTGTTCTATCGAATTACGCTAATACAAAATATTGTTCGGCTTTCGAATGTTCAACAATCTGTTGATATTATAGTATTTAAGTTTGGGTCGTTCTGTATATTTATAGAAAATAAAGTATGTCACGTTGTGACGTTTAAGAGAAAACCCATTTGCTCGTATAACAATATATAAAAACAAATAAGAGAAAGGTTGAAAATTTGGAACGCAGCATTAGCAACCTTTAAATGAAAAATAAGCATATTGCAAGTGGCCCATTAAACGTTTGAACACATATCTATTATATTTTCAAATATCAGAATTCAAAACATATTTTTATTAGATCCTTAGATTACTAATAGAAAAAAATATATTTTGTTATTTAATTGAACACTGAAAACAAAATAGAACATAATAAATCAATATATGTATAGGTAACTAAATAATTCATTGGAATTTGTTTTCATTTTTATTCTTTTATCACCAGTATCAGTCGGTTGATTTATTACTTCTTTTCATATTCGACTATTGACCTTTCTTTAAAGAAATAATTAGTATTAATTATAATTTTTAATTTCAGAAAAAGCACTATTTGATATAGTCCTATCATAGAAAATCGACTTAAAGTCACGTAACTCTAATGCAAATCGTTGCTTTCTGCGGGTATTAGTAAATAAAGTATATCAGTAAGTGAGTTTTATTAATTACGTTGACTTATCTTCACAGATAGACAGATAGATTGTATTCGTTCAAATATTTACAATTACACTCATTACACTAATTACATTTAAAGATTTAAGTCTGTGTTAAAGCGAGTTACTTATTATATGGTTTTTATCTAAGGATTATGATCAAAAATGCCTACATTAGAAAAGTTTTTCCCGGTTAGGATTATTGATATTTTTTAAAACTGCTTTAGTTTTATTCCTTGGAAATTATATAATTTCTTTAGGAGTGAAGTTTTCCAAGAATTTTTTTACAACTTACATGAGCGATCAGATCTCAATAACGGGATCTTTATCTGCGCTCACCAATAGCACAGATATTCAAAACTCAAAATGCAAAAAAGGTTAATCAGTTATGAATTATTTTACCATTCAATTCAGAAGAAAAACGACTAGCGTTTGCAAAATGCAATAAAGTAAATACAGGGTGCTTAATAATATACAAACAGAAACCCCAAAATTTAACCCTGAGATCTCATTTAAAAGTATTTCCTGTGATTTACACCACTTTATGAATTCGTTCATCTCAAGGTTTTTACACAACAAATTGTGACTCACAAAATCGAAGGCTTTAGAAAGGTACAACGCGGTTAAATTCTAGTTATTTAATCGGTGATTTAATGCAGCTCCCAAATATATAAATTTATTCATATTGCAGATCAACCTTTTTAACGCTGTTTGACCGCTTGATAAGAACTTAAGAAACTAGTTTTATAAAGATAGATTTAACTGAAAATATTACTAAAGATATAAATCACATTTCTTATTTTCAAAAAAAGCTGAAGAACAGAAGTTAAAAAACAATGTTGTGTGTAAAACAAAAGTTACACTTTATATTAAATTATGCTTGTAAAGAAGATGTTTTTTTCCTTCTGGRAACAATCAAATTTTTTTAAATTAAACAGTTTAAGTTTAATATAACATTTCAGGTCTTACTTATTTAGGAATGTGCAAGTAAAATGAGTCCTGCTGCAATGCAAAGAAAATGAGTCCTGCTATTAATGTTACTCATGGGAAAAAAGTGTTCAGTTCCTTTTGTGCTTAATGTACCTTAGGTTACATTKTTRTGTTACGGAAAACTGATGTGTTCCYAACTTTCTTTCCAACCTGCATTGTTTTTTTTTTTTTGATGAAATACTCTTTGAGCAAGCATTTTTTTAATTACTTACTTAGATGTTTCAGTATTGCATAGRCACCCAATACTTGCAATATATTTGCAACAAAAACCATTCTAAAGTAGCTTTCAACTACAACTTAACTTAAAACTTACTGAAATTAAACAAACAAAATTTGAAAAGAAGAAAAATACTGTTTTTGCCTTAAAGTTACTTTAAATAACTGTGCTCTCGAATAAGAAKAGATTATGGAAAAATTMAAAATGAGTCTTYACACTAGTCTAGTCTCTACACTAGGTAAGTGTTGTGCATTTTTAAKTTACGGAAAACTGATGCGTTCCAAACTCTTTCCAAACTGCATTTTTTTCGATTGAATAAGSCATGAGCAAGCATTTCTTTAATTAGATGTTTCAGTATCGTATAGACACGAGACAACCAATAATTAGGAATATTTGCAAAAAAAAAACAGTTTTAAAGTAGCCTTSACCTACAACTTCTGAATGCAACTATTTTTAACRAAARGTAAAATTAWACCAACAAAATTTGAAAAGAAGAAAATAACTGTTTTTRCTCTAAAGTTACTTGTTATGTACTTTAAGCAACTGTGCTCTCGAATGAGAATAGATGATGGAAAAATTCAAAATGAGTATTACTATTAATGTTACTCAATGGAAAAGGCTTTCAAAGATCATTTTGTTCTTAATGTACCTACATTAGGAAAGGGTTTAAGTTACCGAAAACTGATGCCTTYCAAATTATCTTCCCAACCTGCATTTTTTCGATTGAATAAGCTATGAGCAAGCATTTTTTTAATTAGATGTTTCAATATTGTGTAGACAAGAGACAACCAATAATAAGGTATATTAGCAAAAAAATAATTTTAAAGTAGCCTTCAACTACAACTTTTGCATGCAACTATTTTTATCAAAAGGTAAAATTAAACCAACAAAATTTGAATAGAAGAAAATAACTGTTTTTCTCTAAAGTTACTTGTTATGTACTTTAAACAACTGTGCTCTCGAATGAGAATAGATGATGAAAAAATTCAAAATATTACTATTAATGTTACTCAATGGAAAAGGCTTTCAAAGATCATTTGGTTCTTAATGTACCTACATTAGGTAAGTGTTTAATTTTTAAGTTACCGAAAATTGATGAGTCCCAAATTCTCTTTCCAAGCTGCATTTTTTTCGATTGAATACGGCATGAGCAAGCATTTCTTTAATTAGATGTTTCAGTACCGTATAGACAAGAGACAACGAATAATTAGGTATATTTGCAAAAAATTAGTTTTAAAGTAGCCTTCACCTACAACTTCTGAATGCAACTATTTTTAACAAAAGGTAAAATTAAACCAACAAAATTTGAAAAGAAGAAAACAACTGTTTTTGCTCTAGAGTTACTTGTTATGTACTTTAAACAACTGTCTCTCTAATGAGCATAGATGATGGAAAAATTCAAAATGAGTATTACTATTAATGTTACTCAATGGAAAAGGCTTTCAAAGATCATTTTGTTCTTAATGTACCTTCATTAGGTAAGGGTTTCATTTTTAAGTTACCGAAAACTGATGCATTCCAAATTATCTTTCCAACCTGCATTTTTTCGATTGAATAAGCTAAGAGCAAGCATTTTTTTAATTAGATGTTTCAGTATTGTATAGACAAGAGACAACCAATAATAAGGTATATTTGCAAAAAAATCATTTTAAAGCTGCCTTCAACAAAGTACAACTTTTGCATGCAACTATTTTTAACAAAATTTAAAAAAATAAGTAAATAGGTAGATCAGTTTTATGTAAAAATGGGCCTGTAAAACTGGCCCATTTCTTTGTTTCATGCTGCTATCAGAAACTCGAATCAAGAGTATTTTATAATGTGTAAAACACTCCCATATGTGCTCCCAGAGCAGACTGTTTGTTTACATTTAAGGCCCCGAGAAAATCAATAAAAAGCTGTTGGTAAATTAAAAAAGGAGGACTTTTAGTCACCAAAAGCTTCAGAAAACTGTTCAGTCAACCTCATTAATTAAGTAGTACTTGATCATTTAGGATGGAGGTTAAAAGTGACACATTCACTATTGCTCAGATCATTTTCTCCTTGACGCCTGATTAATGTTAAGCCTTTGTTCCCTATGCTCCAGTTAAATCGTGCATGATTGAAAATGAATCTTCACTCAATAGAATGAATTGCTATTTAGACTGTGTGAAATTCGAATAAGAAACCTTATTGTGCACTCACCTCACGTCTTCAGCTCAGGACATCAATGAAAACAACAAAAGGTTACAATCCAAAACAAAAACTGGCACTTATTTGAACTAAACTACAACAAGATTTATCTATAGCAGTCTAATAACAAATAGATTAGTCAGTTTGGGCTGTTTATTTAGATCCCAAAACAGACCGACAATATCATAACTGCACTTTGCAGTACAACCGAAGAACGGTCTCCCACGAACTAAAACTAACAACTAACGGGGACTTGAACGGAAGCTCAATCAGAGCACAGGCACAGACGAGCCATGCGCCCCGGACAAAATGGGCACAACTGCGTTCAAAATTCACATTATTAACAAAAAAACAGTCAAATATACGTTAATATTGAAATGTTTCTAAGATGGTTGACTGCTTAAATTAGTGAACGAAGTGGAAATTCATCGAAACTAATCAATCAGACAAGTATCTGAAGCTTAGGCCCGGTTCCACCAAAAGTGATTAAATTCTTGGTTAACTAATCACAATCATTTTTTAATCAGCACTTTAATCATGATTAAATTGTCATGCGTTCCACAACAAACATTTTAACTCCGGTTAGATAATCATCAGTCTCATCGGGTCAGATCGTATTT